AATTTAATTTCACCCCAACATGTTTGAAAGGATTCATGTCTCGTTTCTCTCACGCATCAGGGGCTCGTGTTACAAAATCTTCATTTGAGTGCATTTGTTTGATCACCGTTGCGGTCAATACTTGTTCTAGATTTAAATGCGCGAGTTTACATTGAGTTTGCGAAACAAAAGCTCAGTAAAAACGAGCACATCCCGAATGCATAACGATAATTCGTAGTCGAATGTTATTTGTGTACTGATTGATTATAACATTAATTAATGTCTCTCTATTCAAAAGCAGGAACTTAAATCTCGACTCGACAACAAACACTATACATATAGTGTTTGCAATCATCATAAAGTATCCAAGAATTATTATTATTATTATTATTATTATTATTATTATTATTCACTATTGTATTGAATACTATTATCTCGACTGTATCAATAAATGGATTATTAATTAACAGGTCGTTTAGGTGGTAAAGTTTCATTAAATTTTAATGAAAAATGTTGTATATGTTGCGTTATTAAAAAAATACGATATTGCAATTTAATCGTTTCGTTATCATATCGAGAAGAATTCATGTACAATTTATTATCGAATATTTTCGCGTATATAATTGTTTCCGAACTCGAGAGTATAGGATATCGAATAAATTCACTGATGGCCGCGAAATCGAAGGGATTTTCCTCTCATATGTCTCAAATATCTATGCTCTCACGTAGCGCATAATATTAATGATCATAAAAGGTACAGTAAAGATAAACCAAAGATTGATTAATTGTTTCGTTATTAAAAATCATAGTAAAGTATCAAATAAAAAAATTACCTACAAAAACCGTGTTAATTTTTTATAACCATTCATCGCACAACTTTTCTACTAATTTCCATTATTTCCTGGTGTAAATGTTAAAATTTTTACAAAAGCTTGCAACAAAAGATGTATTTCACAAAGTCAAAATAATTGTCGCGAATAAATTATTTTCATCTACGATTAAATTGCAATATCTACTGCCTAATGAATATAAATAATATTTATTCTCTAAAAAACTCGTAAAAACTGAAAATTTTCCTAATACATCATGATTTTCATTGACAATAAAAATAATGCTCTAATTAAGTTACAATGTCGAATAAACTAGCTTTCCATTAAAGTGAACGAGACGTTACAACTAATGAGTTCACGGTGAGATGATAAATTCAATACGTTGAAAATCCACTCTCATTGGAGTCAACTTTTGATAGTTGAATATCAGAACGAGGGAAAACATCAAAACAAAATTAAATTATATCAAAAATAAACACGATCTGAAGAGCAGTAAAAAATTAAATTTACTTTTTAGTTTACTTTTTAGCTATACAGTAAAACAAAAAATATTAATGAAACAGTAATTCACTACTCATACACTAACTCAAATTAAAAAAAAATATAATTGGAATAAAATAAGAATTAAGGTTTTTTTCCGCAACAAATCAATGCAATAGATTTCCACATAAAGTTTCTACACTCTGCCAAGTTCTGACTCGCCATTTATATTACAAGATGCAAAGGGACAAGTATAGAAACGTTAAACGCTGTTTGATAAGACCTCAGTCCTTTCACTTTCCTGGACGATTTGCTCAATAAATAATCCCGAGTCTCATGAGAATGGATACACGAGTTTATAAGAGTGCCCTTAACTGGATCACAGCACGAGAGCTTTCAAACTTTAATAGCGTGAAATTGTTTCTTGCAAAATGCTTTATATATATATTTTTTAAAGTTTCATTCAAGGAGAAATTCTATTTAGAATGTACTGCAATGTTGGTTTCATCTTACGTTTTAAAATATGCGCAATTTGCAATTATATCAGCTTACAAACTTATTTTAAAGCAGTGAATTTCATGTTACTTATATCATCAGTAGAAAATAATTATAAAATTTAAAATTTATCATATTCTCTATCATTTGCTATCACACTTACCTTTCAGGAAACTATTAATAATTATATGGATCTCAAACTCACCTGAAACAGAAAAAAAAAGTTTTTTTTAAGTAATCGACTATCTTATCTCTAATACCTAACAAAGTAATAAGACAGCTTATTTTAATCAAAATTTAGTTGTTTTAAATTTTTTCTAAGACTGCGTACAGGAAAATTTCGAAACTGTATTTTCAAGACTAATGAGTGACACGCCTGATTAAAAATTCAAGCACCCGGCAGGAGAAGCATAACGAAACTGAATGATTGATTTACTGCACGAGGTAGTGATTTCTATCATTCACTCTCGTATATGAACTATCGTGAGAAATCTCTCTGGTATAATTTTGATTCTTAGTATCTTCTAAGGAAATGTAACAGAATAAGCAATTTCAGAAAAGAGGAGATTCTATCTTCTTGATTTTGTCATTGAACTACGATTGTGGAAATTCGGTATTTAAGAAATTAATATTCTCAATCTATATGAAGAAGAAACTCTTTCAAGAAACAAGTAAAAATAGAGTAAATTTTTAAAAATATACTTTTACACATACGTACTATAAAAAATAATAATTTGATATTGAAGAATGATGGTCGAATATATAAATTTTAGCTAGTATATTAATTACTCCGAGTATCAGAATATCTCAAGCACACATCAATCAACATTAATTTTGATAAATCGGTTGACATTAGTGTTTTACGTAAAATAATGAATTACTCTGATGCGTCAAATAAAATCAAAGGCATCACCATCTGGAGTAATGAAGCAGATTTGGCGTTAAAATATTTGATATTGACATTATAATTCAAAAGAATTGTCGCTCAGTAAAAGTCAAATTAAAGTTCTTTTGCATCATTTATAGAATTCAAAGAAATAATATTTGAAAAAAATAATTTTGTTAATTTTCAATTCGACTAATATTGAAAATGAATGCTCTACTACTCAGAAGATGGAAAAGAGAATGTAGGTAGAGTAATAACACTTATATAAACGCAATTATTCTATTACAAAAAGATGTCTAGATATTTATGAAACATCAAATTCAACTTATGTACATTAGTTATAAACTGCTCTCTATAATATTTAAGTATTATACAAGAATCTTGTTTTTTGAGATACACAAACAAAAATTGAAATTGTTTTTGCGCAACAACTACTTTCCGGAAGTTCTGGAATTCTAGAATTCTATCCGTATTTGAGGAGTGAATAGAGAATATCATAGTCCTGCCTGAAAGGGTTCTATATGAATAGACCCTGTTGCTTCTTCACGCCATTGGTTCAAATATAGATACAACATTGAGATTTTGTATGCATTTTTATATAATTTTTACTTTTTTACATTTCAAAATGAAAGAAACCATCTCATTTGGAAAATGAACTCATCCATATACTTGAATATAAAATGCGCATAGAATTTCTCCCCAAGATAAAAACATGTCCTTATTCCGAATCTCATGCGAAAAATGAAAAAAGGAACCTATATAACCTTCTTTCTCAGCAACGTTTCCACGAGACGTCTTTCTTTATTATCCTCACCAGGGATCGAGGAACGACCGACGACAGTTCCTTCGACACTTTCTATGTTTGACTCCAAATGGAAATGACAATTTCCAAGCTGGTACACATTCATCTATTCTCGGACGTTTCTTTTCTAAAGATTGTCAAAAGAATCGTTAGTGGATTTTCGTTCGCTAACGATTATTTTAAAAGTGTATGAACAAAATTCCATTGGGAATATAAAAACGTTTCGTCGAGGTAAGCTTAAGAATTAAATCTTATCCGTCGCGTAAGGTAGAAGACATTTTACTACTTTCCTTAAGATTTGTATTTTAAAGAATACTCAATCCGATAGAGATTTGAATTATTCAGATTGAAGTCGCAGTCAAGAAATGAATTCTCCCGACTCAATCAGTAATTTGAAGCGAAAAACAATTTCCGTTAAATCTGATAATGTCCATCATTTCGACTTGAAGTGAACCTGATGAACATTCTTCTATAACATTTGTCATTTTATAGAAAATGTACTTTTCCGTAAATAGAGATTGAAAAAAACAATTGTTAAAAAAAACTCTTTTCGTTTCTCATTTCAAATTAGAAATTAAATATATATATAATGCAACTTTAAAAGACAACGAGTGATAAATAAAAATATGAAATTCGTGTATTTGCAATTTTCGTGTCATATCAAATATGCAACATCAATTTCCCACGTACTTCATGATGAAATTTTTAAGACAAAGAATTTTAATTGTCAGTCAAAGAACAATGCTACTGATACTGTTCGTCACTTGGACGTATATTCAATTTTTTTTCTCCTTTTTTTTTTGTTGTAAAGTGGGTGCGGCAACTTTTACATTCACATAACAGCCCTTTACTCTTGAAACAATCAGATGTGATCCTAACTTACGCTTCATACAGGCAGCGTATTGTTTGTAAACTTGATGTTACATGTTTTGGGAAATACTAAAAAAAATTAGAAAATCCAAGGTTTCACAATATCCTGCAAAATTGTCCACATTAATAACATAAATTAAAATTTATAGTGGATGTTGTAGACCTTATTATTGAAATTAAAAATTTGTTGAAAAAAGGGTGAAATCATCAAGTTTTTCTAAAGATATCAAATTGAGACAAAAAATGAATAAAAACGTCTGTGAAAACTAATTTTAAAGATTTAAAAATATTAACATAAAATATAAACAATAACATAAACATGTTCGAAACTGGTCGAAGTAATGGACATATTTTGACATTTAAATGTCAAAAAATAAAATCAATCAACCGTTAGAGTCCTTAACGTTATTTAATTTCCTAAAATTAAGATAAGATACCTTAAATTGAGAAACATTTTAATAAATAATTGCTAGCAATAATTCTCGATACCTAAGGATTTGCCAGTAACTAGTCAAATGGCGGAAGTTGATTGCTGACAAGGTTGTTGGTTGCATTGTTGCATAAGTGAGATGAGTCTCACTCCGTGATAAGCTATAACATGTTAACTACCGATGATCGTTATATGTTTGTAAGTGAACCTCAATTCACAGTCAGTCCTTTCAGTTCCCCCACATAGGAAATATGAGACGATGCAAAAGCAAAAGCCAACACTCTAGCGTTCTGCTCCAGGTACCAAGTCTACTAACGTCTCCCTTCGAAAAGAGCCAGTTTCCGCGTAGACACCACTTGGCCAAGTTCGGAACTGGTTCTTAAAAAGTGGTTCTTTCATTGTGCAAGGCAATATGCGGATCTCGTGCTTCGCGGTTATTCTTTGTGTCGCATTAGGTAAGTGCTCCAATCACCAAATCTTTACTTGGTTCTACCCTTTTATCAATTGATGAATTAAATTGTTTAAATAAAAATGAGAAAATAGAAATATTCAAAAATCTAGACAATCTAGACAGTGTAGTCAGAAAGTAAGTTTTGAGACAAAGTAAACGAATCGGAAAAATGTATCTCTTCCACGTGGAAACCTATTGACATTTTGGTCATCTCGAATAGCTAACCCAATCCAGTTAAACATAGTTGACTCTCGACCACTGCGCGAGAACACCAGGGGAAATCAAGCGTTCTCCAATTTTATTTGCATAAAGTGATGGAACTAGCACATCACGTGCAGCTATGTCAGGTCCTTGGTGTCTCCTACTTTTTGGCATTTTAGTTATTTTCCAGATCAAGACTCACTGTGACACCAGTTGCATGTGAATGCGATAAAAATATAATTATCCTCTAGGCGAAATTAAAAAATTAAAATTTAAAAACTCTAGTCTATGTGTAATCTACAATCTACGAAAAGAAATTTCCTTGTAATTATTAAAAACTCAGCTAATGAATATAAATCGAGAGTGTTAGCCTTTCAAGAAATAGTCAAGATTTCTTTATGAAAATGTTGATTAATTTACAGGGGAACAAGTGTGTATAGAATGGGAAACGCCTCTTATCGGCACAGAATCTACCAACACGTGATGAACGTTATAAACGTGATACTATAAGTGAGATATAAAGCGCACAATTCCGTAACTCTTGCTTGGATATAAAAGCTGATGTAGAGTTTTCTTCCGAAACTTTTTATCGCTCACCCCGTCTCATCACTAAAAGAGCACATCGTGAAATGCTCGCTGTGTGTTACTTGTGAAGAAACTCTCTTCGAAACGTACCTTTAAATAAATATTAAAATTTTGGACATGATTTCCCCTCTATTTCTTTCAATATTCAAAAATTGTCGATTAAAGTAATGTACTTTCAATCGGCTAATGCAAATGTGGAAAAAATGTATGTGGGAAAATTCCGAGGCACAGGCGTTAATGCAGAAGGAAAATCTAGTGGTTCACGTAACACGTCGTCTACAACATGAAGCTCTTGAAAACTCTTTTCATTGCTGACTCTGGTACAGCTTCGCGGTTCATTCGTGTGAACATGTATGTATAAAAAGAATCCCTTTTGCGAATTCCCCATCATTACTCGAATTTTTTTTTTTCCGAAAAAGAGGAAAGAGAGAAAAACAGTGACAGGCGAGCTTTGCGCTAATACAGTTTTTTCCTCTGTGGACAGGGTAGTGAAGTTGCAAACAGGTAGACGAACGCTATCGTCGCTATCTGCGATTGATGTACGCCACAATGTTCATGTTCACACGAAGATTGTTCGTCACATTCTAACCACGTCCAGCACCTGCGCCCAACCTTCTCAATTGATCCCACCTACATCATGTGCACAGGGGAGCTCACGCAATTCTCAATGCATTCGGCAGCATCCGTGCAGAGTATGGTATATCAACCAGTATACTACATACCTGATCACCATAAAAATTTATAGACTCTCGTTGGCGACCGTAAATTGTATTATCGAAGCGCATATTCCATCGCGTCCATATCCTCTCAACCACCCGGACCCTCTTTGAACTGCCACCCTCTGCTCTGCCTTGCTTTGGAATGGGCAGGGTTTTAAAATCAACCCCCACTCCCGCTGCAGCGATAACCTCGATAGAGAGCGGCGAGGGAAACCGAAAGAGATTGAATATTTTTAAAAGTAAATCGGATCTTTAAAACGATTGTATTTTACCGTTTCTTCGGAAAACAAATACGTGCAATATTCAAATAAACAAATTCATTAGCCATACAAGTTTAGGTTAGTTTCGAATAAACATGTTTAAATCGATTTATATCCACTCACATGATGCTAAGCTAGTCCACTTAGAAGTCGAAGAAAGCCTGCGCCAATTTAAATTCAAAAGAAAAGCAATGAAAGAAAGCACACGTGCTCTTCATGAAATCTGAAAGATGCTTGTGGATAAAAATATACATTGAAATAAAAGGAAAAAGGGTAGGAGTATAAAGTAGCAAGAAAATAGTATAACGAGATGGAAATGGAAACACGTGTTGTGTGTTACCATGCAAAAGTATCTTACAATATAGATAGAAGATTATCAAGAGAATAAGACAATAAAAAGTATAAGGTCACATATCAAAGTCAAATCTGCGGAAGGTTATAATAAGTATTCTGCAAATATATCTAAAACACCGAAAGTTATCATGTTTTCGCATATTATTGAATAACAACAATGACGATAAAATAGTAAACATAACTCTATAGTTTAATTAATACCAGCTTCCTTAACATTTCCACTAGAAATTCGCTCTATTCATTCCTATGAATTTAATTCAAAAAGAACAATGTTCGCATTAGCTTTTGTAATTTGCAAAACATATAATTAAATTAAATACAGTCCCCACGAGGTAAAATTGAATTTAGATTTAGAAGTTTGTTTTAAACTATATAATTATTCACAGATCGTATTAGAAAACATAATTTCCGCACTAATAATTATAATTGTACTAATTATAATAGCCCGAATCATTTTTAATTAATCAAGTTCATTTTCAAAGATTTTTAATCAATTTAAATAAGTCTCCGATAGATGTTTCCACTTTGGAGAAATTAAATTTTTCAAATTTATACATTTAGTATTGGATTTGAACAAAAATTAAACTTTCATGAAATCTGCTTTGACCTTAAAATTTATAATTATCTTTCTTTAAAGAGATATTCTTTTTTTAAATTTAGAGAATTAAATACTCTTTAAAATGTACAATAACATGAAAGTAAATCGAGAAATAGAATAAAAGCATTTACATAAGCCGAATTTACTAATTAAAATATTATTGTATAGAAAGTTAATAGCACTTTATTTGTATATAATTGAAGAATAAGAATAGCGAATATAATTAAAACTCCTAATGATAGTGTTATATATTGAAGATTATTAAAATTTTCAGTATTTGTGCTTCCTTAATCTCTAAAGACTTTCTACCAAAGAAAACAGATGATATAAACAAATGTTGAGAAAAACTTCCAACCTAAATATCATAAGTATTCGATGGCGAATAAATTGTCAAGAAAAATAAATCTTTCCGTCTCTTTTCGCATACTTATTGCATACAATTCACAAGTGTGGTACGATTAATTGAGATTAAGCAAATTAGCCAGCATTTGCTTGAGAGTCGGCAGATGGTGACTGCATTTGGACAGCAACGAACCTGACACACATTATTCGATATGCAAACATACTTGTTTTGCATGTCTGCTTAATATCACATTTATGCAGACCGACAATCTGCAATAATTTCATCAAAATACACACCCAAATTGATAATGCGTTGTCCACAAATAGAGAAGTAAATGGCACGTGCCGTTTGCCTTTTACAGAAAAAGAAATAAAACCCCATGTAATTAAATTGAGAAACCTGGTGCTACTTGTACTAAACGAGTATGCAAATTCAAAAGAAATGACAATCAACTTAATTTTTATTTTTTAAATTAATAGTAACTGCATGAAGAAAATATCAGGAACTTAAATTAAACACTTTGTTATTTGACAATAAAAACTTTCGATATATATTTGATTTCAGTGTGGCTGACACTTTCTCGTGCCATGAAATGTGAAAGTGGTCGAATTTGACCAATCAATGAAGAAATCACATATGTTCAAAACATGAAAGTTGCAAACCAAGTTTATGAAAAACGAACTTTCAATTTTTTATGCACAATTTCTTTTATAAAAATAAAATAGTATGCAAATGAACAAAATAACGTCAGTTCTATTGTAAGAGTAAAAATTAAAAAATAATTCGATATCGAGATATATTGAAATTAACAATTTGATCTTGAATTTAATTGTTTTTGTAAATTTCGGTATAAAATAGAATGTAAATAAAAAATTGACAAATTTCTCGGTAAGGACTGCAATAAACATCAGCGTGAAAAAAATCGCAAAGGCACATAATGGTACACATAGGGGGTAAAACAGATCGAGTAAATAACATTCGAACGAACTCTCTCGTTTCAACCATGTGAACACAGGTTTTATTTACTAGAGTGAACGAAACGCAAAACGAAACGTTCGCCTGTTATTAATACACCTGCATAAAGCGACTGTTAGATACGAGTTTTCAGAAGCACGTTAAAACGATTGAAATGAACTGATTCTGTGATCATGGCGAAAGATTTTATTAGTATAAAACTCTTTCGCTCAAGACAAAAACATGCTAGAACATGCTAGAAACATGTCAGTCAAGAATTCAAGATAAATATATATTTTCTGCATAGACTTATTGTCAAATTTCATAATCATAATCCGTCTATGTCATTGCGAATAAATCGGCATAAAAATATGAATGAGTTTTTCATTTTAAAAAATGTATCCTTTGAATTGAAGAGATATGAAAACGTTTTTAATAACACGTTAAGCCTTCTTTTCATCTTGAATTTCACGCAAAGGTGGTGAGCGAGCCGTGATTCGTTCATTTCTCTCTTTTTTGCTACGCAACCCGGATCCGGCAAATATAAGTTGACAACCTTCTACCCTACAATTCAATTTAATCTCATATCTCATATATCCAAGCTGCACGAGTGACCAGCCGCGGCTAACACGTCCAGTATTCAGAAAAGCATATTTTGGATGAAGGGTATCGCGTGTCATAAAGCCGTAATCACCGAGCCGAGACTGTTGGGGTCGTAGGGGGCGGTGAGGAGTTGCACGGAGGTACAGAATCGACGCGACGGGAGAAATGGTAAAATATCATGAAAAGAGAGAGGGGCAAATTCATAACTTTGTACCGTCGCAAATTTTACCACGTACCATAAAAATGCGATAGATTCGACGTGTACTGGTTCCGGTTATGTGCGCCTTGCAAACCAATCACTCGCGTAATTTCAGGGGTGATAAAAGCACTTGGCAAAACAGCGGTGGAAGATGAAAATTGTTTACCAATGGAATGACTGAAATCGAA